CATCTATGTGGAACAAGCTCAAGATCTTAGCATGTCATGTTCAAGAACTAACAATACAAAGATCTAACTTTCTTTCTGGAGTACTAACTAACAGGCTAAGGATCTTATTCTCTCAAAGGCCACTAAGAAAAGAGATCATGGCCCCAGGTCTACGCCTGAGGTTCACTATAAAGGGCAGTGAACACTCATGCCAGGACACAACTAGAGCTAATCAGCAAGCCTCTTTCCTAAAGGCAAAACAGCATCGTGATAGATTAGGTGACTTGACTAGTTCTCCTACACCACACCTTATAGTGTATCGCCATCACAAATGAGACTGGTTTTGAGAGATTAAGGCCAAGATTATGTGGGGATGATGGCCTCTATACAAGCCTGTGTGCTCTTCCAACCGTGGTGGTCACAAACCACCTTCAAGCCTACTTATCCAGATTCACTTATGGTGGAAAGCCCCAGACACACAAAATCAATGTATTCCCCAACACAGAAGCCTTAAGACCTTTCCCACACTACCCCCAAACCCTACAAAGGAAGGAGTAGGAAGCAAGACACTTTGAATCTACAAATACAGAGGTATGGTGGTTAAGAGGATGTATTTTAAGAGCCATTTGTTAACCTGCTCCATCTTAACCCATCTTCATCAGTAAAATGGTAATAACCCAGAGTGTATGAGGATTGCAGGAGCATCTCCTTATCCTGATACTGAAACAAAGGACTCACAAAATAGCAGCTCTAATGTTACTATCCTCAGGCCACAGCAAACCACCAAGTTTTCTAATGTGAGATTCCTTTCTAACACCCCTAGATACACAGGTTAGATTCTCTTCTGATTGTAGTCATCTGGGGACTATAATCCTCAACTCTTTCCAAAGGTTCTTGGTTCCCACCATGCTGTATGCATTCACTTTTCAGACCTCTGTGTTCTCCCTGTGGTAAATTCAGATTACAACTACACCAGATTCCTTGCTAGGTTCTGTCAAAGCCAGAAGGAACAGGACAAGGCCCCTGTTTAATACTGCCCCAGCCATAGGAAGGAACAGTGATGGAAACAAACTGAAGCTCTGCTCAGGTAAAGCTTTAGAGAATGGGGGAACTGGAGGAAAGCCGAGTCACAGAAGTGACATCTGATCAGTCCTACTAGTTATAAAAAAGGAGACAGGAGTATTAAAGAGATTTCATAGTATGGCTGGGATAGCTGACCCAGGTCAAGACCAGACCACTAGGGCCTTATAATACCATGCTGAGCCTGAACTTATCCTTGTAGGCCACAGAGAAACCATAAGCAGTGAAAAGATCACTCAGTGCTCTCATGAAAGATGGACTAGTGACTGGATCAACTCAGACTCAGGGGAGAGCAAGAACAAAGTACCTATGCCCCAGCTCACCTCCTCCAGAGGGCCTCCCTGAACCCATAGCAAAGCCACATCGTGAAACATCCCTTTCTGCCCTGAGAATATCTTATCCAACATTCATGACATTAAAATAAGTCATCAATATTTGCCTCAACAGAAGAAGCACTTTCACTTACATATTCCTAAAGACTGCACAAAATCTACTGAACAGCTAAGTCAGTCTGAACTGTCAGATGAGAAAAATGCCTATCCTACACACTAAGAGATGTATTCCAAAGAACAATGGGACACACATTTGGTGGTCTGGAGGTCTAAACAAGAGATACAGATCTGGAAGTTAAGAGTGAGGTGGCCCCTCCAGGGCCTGCAGATAGATTTCCTAGGATTCTAGTGCTATTTGACACTAATTCAGGTCAGTGAAAGATCCTCAGGGAAGCCGAAGCAGCGTTAAAGATAAAAGCAGTTCAAGAAAGGTGACTAAGGAGCTGACAGACAAGCAGAACACAAAATGGTCCAGGTGAGTTTTGGTCTACCTGAAATACTATGTACACAAAAACAAAAGTTACTGATTAACAAGAAAAGGACAAATAGCAATTCAGCATGCACCCATTTAATTTCTGAGTCTAACATCCAATGACTGACTGGGTTCCTTAGTACACAGGAAAGAAGCCACATGATGCAGAGTGTATCAAAATAAAGCACTGGATTGTAGTCTTAAACCTTGCTAACCATTAACTAAAGTAGCTTTGACTGGACTGGAACGGTCTGATAACCTATTAATTGATATTGCTTTTTTGGGGGGTACTGGAGATTTAACCCAGGGGAGCTTGACCCACACTGCACCACATCCCCAACCCCTCTTCTTTTTTTAAATTTTGAGACAGGGTCTTACTAAGTTGCTTAGAGCCTCACTAAGTTGCTGAGGTTGGCCTTTTGATCCTCCTGTCTCAGCCTCTAAATTGCTGGGATTATACATGTGTGCCACCAGGCCAGAAAACTGATATACTTTTATTAAAACTATTTACATAAGTCTCTTACTAAGCCCAAAGCTGATGAAGGTATTCGACATCACATCCTGTCTACATGAAATGCTCTGCAAATATTTCAAGTCTTTGCCACTTTTCTATCAAAGGGATTTTAGATATATTTATGAGTAAATGTGATGAAAATATTGGTAGGGTGGGTGTGAGCTGATGAAAAAAACTTTTGGGACAAACTGTCCTCTTTGTAAAGAGACAGAACATGAGAAGGAATGGAATATTTACTTGGATTATAAACTCAAGTCTGCCTCATCATTTATCCAAATTAAAATGTTCCCAAATATATGATTAAAAATCACCTTGGGCCAAGTATGGCAGCACACACCTGTAATCCCAGGAACTTGGGAAGCTGAAACAGGAAGATGACATGTGCAAGGCCAGGCTCACCAACTTAGGGAGACCCCATCTCAAAAAAAAAAAAAAAAGGGCTAGGGACTTAACTCGATGGTAGAATGCTTGCCTAGCATGGGAACCGAGTTTAAGCCCCAGTACCACAAAAAAATAAAAATATCACCTCAACCTAGATTTCACTTCAATTTATAAATTACATATATCAGATAAGGTAAGAGTAAAGTCAGTCATTAATCTACATTACTATTTATAGTTAACAATGCCCTCTTATTATACAAACTACTTTCTTTGAATACTCAAGTTAGCATTCTCCTAAATACACTGATGTTCCTGCAAACCACTAGTAGAGCAAAAAAATCGGTATAATCTGATTCTATAGCTTCTTTCAAGGGGAAATTACTTCACCACCACCAGTTAACATTTTAACTACATGAATCAGAGGTATGAATCTCAAGAATATGTTCTATATCTAATGTATTAGTACTACATTACAAACTTATTATAGGGAAAAATCATTTTCTACATAGTTTTGTTTCAGCTTTCTAAAACCCTAATAACTTCAACATACGTCAAAATTAAAAACAGTTCCTTCTACAATCTTATCACTAAAAAGTCCCAAAGTTCAAAAAATAGTAAACCACAGGATGTGAGGAAGTTGTAATGGGAGCAGGAGTAGAGCAGCTTTTCAAGGAGGACCAAGCTCATCCTTTTGCCATGCACACGCTGCATTAAGATTCTAAAGCAAGAGTGACTTATTTTTCTTAAAACTATCTTCTACGGGATAGTAGTATAATACGGAAAAGCATACTTTAAGTATGGAATGAGTCATAAATCCACTTGATGAAAATCAGAATGCCTAGGAGACACAACTACATCACATATTATCATGCAATAAAATTAATCTGAAAACTATGTACATCTCATTGCTGGTTTTCCAAACTTAAGGGAAAAGATATGAAACTAATTCAGTAAGAACAGATGGATCTCATTTTTGCAAATGTTCTGAACAGCCTTATTCTGATACATAAGAAACAATGTACAGTCTTAAGACTGCATTCATACAACATGGGCTTTCCTGTAGTAAGTGGTTTTGATTTTAGCTTACCATAAACAAACTTGCAATCAGGAAAGTCAAAAACTAAAAACTTTTTCCAACTCTATGTTCTGATTAAGGGTTCAGGAAAGAATCAAGGTTTGTCAAAAGAGAATCTCTGCAAGAAATAGAGTTTCAATGTTATAGAAGCCCTTTATATATATCCCATTCTTTTTATTAGCAGGTTAACTTTGTTTCAGAAGACTTACTCTATGGCCTAGAAATGTTAACTTTTAACAGGACTCATGACCTAACTCACTAGTTACCCCTACCTGCCTAGTCATCTGTTTATGATCAAGGTTTTCATCTTGATTTCAACCAAGTCTTATTATTTTGCTGGTTTTTTGGTAGCAGTTTTTACATGCTATGGTACAAGTGATTAAGTCTCCATTTCTACATGGAGGTCTGCATTAAAGAGCAGCAAGCAGATTTATCACTGACTCCACTCCCCAGGTTTCTCCAGTTTTCTCACACATTCTAGGCAAGTGCTCAAGCCTCTAACTGAGAATTCCTTTGGATGACAGATCTGGCTGGGGAGGTGGTGATGGACCTGTCCACTAGCTACCTCTCTAGGGATCCCGACTATCAAAGCAAGGAGGACCTGAGGGAAAACAGGCAAAGGAAAAAAAAGAAAGAAAAAAATCAATGACTCTTCCAACCGTCCCCTCTCACTTAGGTCATCAACTCCCATCCTCTACAGCACACTTGATAATGAAGGGTGTTCAAAGGCAGTTCCCAGTTCCCATGAGAACTAACCCAACAATTACCTGCTTTACTTGCTTGTCATGGACCGGCTCTCCAAGCAACTATAAACATAACAGAATTCTTAAGACATAAGAACTTCCCCTGACTCAAAAGAGTAAGAAAACATGTACAACATGAAAGCATCAAGCAACAAATTCTAGTCAATGTTGAAAAAAAGTTTGTTATTGTAACACCAATAAGCTCAAACTAACTTTCTAAAAACATTTTTAGGACAGGCTAGCTGACAGTCAAAGTTGCCTGTTAAGTTCTTAGCTTACATACTATTTCAACATTTCTAGAGCAAGTGTTTACTATAATAGACAAAAAAAGACAATGTATCTGGACCTAAACCTAAATGTGAAAATGGGTCCACAGGCACACTCTTAACCATTTTTCCAAAGAAATATGTTTAAACGGCTTTACCATGCAGAGCTATGGCTTCCCGGAAGGGTTGCAAATCAGTCTCTACAGATGAGCTAGTTTCCGTTGAAGTAGCTCGGTTAGGGGACACTACAGTCAGTCTTGGGGGAGCTCTAGAGTTTCGTGGTGGAGGAACCTTTCCACACAGGAAGCTGATCAAATCTTCTCTACGAATAGTTCTTCTGCGTTTTTTAACCCAAGCCAGCACATCCTTATTGCGTCGCTGATAGCCAATCTGAATTCCAATATCAAAACTTCGCTGATGGGTATCCACACTTTCTATTAGGGAAAAAAGAAAAAAGACACATGATAATCGTTAGAGCCATACTATATTCCCATCTAAAGGAAACTTTTAATAAGTTAACCAAATGAATTATGAACTATGAGGCCTCTTAACCCATAAATAATCTAATAATCAGAAATGTTTTGTCAGTCACGCTAGAATGTTATACATGTTTTCTCACACATTCTAGGCAAGTGCTCTGGAGGTACATCCCAGCCCTAAATGTAGTCTAAGTGTTCAAAATTCAGAATTCATACATAATCATAGTTTCTTTTCCTTTAAAAAAAATTTTAGAAATATTTAGTCAAACTACCTAAAATAACTTACTTAGCCTAGTTTAGTTTAATAGTACCAACAATAGCTAAATTATCAGATGTTTATTAGTACTTAGTTTCACATGAGAAAGGTAATAAATCTACTTTGAGACAGGTACTACTATCCCCTTACTCCAAGAGGAAATTGAAGTATTCAAGGTAACTCCTTCAAGGTCACAGTACACACAGAAGAGCTAGAATTTTGCTCCAAAGTCTATGAGACCATTACCACTAAGTTAAATTGCTCTCCTTCAGAAGAGCAAATCCTCAGCCAGGAGCTGTGACACATAACCCAGCAACCTCTCGAAGACTGAGGGGCAGGAGGATCACAAATTCAAGGCCAGTCCACAACTCAGCAAGCCCCTATTCTCAAAATAAGAGGTATTAGGGGTGTAACTCCCTGGGTAAAGCACCTCTGGGATCAATCCTCAGGGCGCGCGCGCACACACACACGTGGATTCTCATGAAATGTTGGTGGCATCAGATGCCTAAATATCACATGTAACATGAGATGTACCCCAACTGGAAGGGTTAGCACAAGGCTGCAGCAAACGGTTTAGAAAGACGAAGGGAAAATTAATTCTGTAGTTTTATTCTACACCAAACAGGAGGGCTGGGGTTGTGGCTCAGAGGTAGAGCGCTCACCTAGCATGCGTGAGGCACTAAGTTCAATCCTCAGCACCACATAAAAATAAGGATAATAAAAAATTAAAAAATAAAACAAGAGCAGTTGGAAATAAGAAGCTTCATTAATTGCTGTGGTATATTTTCATCCTTCTTCCAATTCCCAGTAGCTTAATTCACAATCATTACCTTGCCTTAAAATTCCCAATCTTAACTCCTCATAAGAGGAACCTGAATCTAATGAAAAACTCCCTGCCCTTTAGTGGTTTTATCTAGTTGACAAAAATGTTTGAAAATTCAAGTCACTGCAATTTACTTTTAGTTGGCTGCTGAGCTAGCACAAAATCACTTGCATGTCTTTAAATAACACTGAACAAGATTGGCTCCTTTATCCCTGAACCTTCTGTAAAAGCAACAAGACACATTCTCTACTACCATTCCTAGCTTCAATTATTTTAATTCTATATCTGCTACATCTAGGGTAGAGTCTGAAAGGAAAAGCAACACACAATGAACAGCCATGTCCCAGAAAAATGGACAATAATCAAGACATCACAGAGGATAGGCTCCCAAGCTCAACGAACATGAACTATTAAAAAAGAAAGGACTAGGAGTACAGTTCAGTGGTACAGTGTGTGCTCAACAAGTACAAAGCCCTGGGTTCCATCCTCAGTACCACCACACCCTCAAAAAAGAAGAAAAAAAAAAAAGTAAGATGACAAGAGTGTGGCAAAACAAGCAGAACTGTTTGTTAACAAGGCCTAGCCCTTAGCAGATGACCAACCTTTAATTCTGAAGATCAACAAGAAAATGAAGAGGCTGTCCATGGAGGATTCTTCTTTATACTTCAAAATGAAAAGGACCAGGACTAGAATTCAACATCCACTGAGAACTTGTGGTATACAACACTATTTTCACATCTCACTTACCCCTCCATCGCTGAGAAGGCAATTAGCCCAATTCTGCATATATAAGTAGCCCTAGAGTTAAGTCATTTCTACAGTGTCTCTGCTAGAATAATGGCTTGACACAGTAATAATTGCTCATTTCACCACTCACAAAGCAGACTGAACTCCATTTCAAAGGGAAACAGCTACGAGGGCAAAACACCACCTTCTCATCTCTTGGAGAAACGACTTACAGGAAAGCCAACCTTAAGATGGATGGATGAACCTATCATGACCTTGGAAAGCTGTATCTAGTCCTCGAAAAATTTTCAAAGAGCTGGAGTCATTTAAAGGAAATCAAATCATTGAGCAAGCTAAGCCTATCCCAGGCACCCACAGAAAGATATATAAAAAAAAAAAAATAGGCAAACAGAAATAGTCAGGTTTTTACAAACCTGCTCTACCCAAAACTGTTTTCAATCAATCTTATAACTTTTCATTTCTGCCTCCCAATAGTGAGAAAACTCTCTTTCAAGAACTAAACAAAAGCTAAGCATGGTAGCACACACCTGTAATCCCCAATACTCAGAAAGCTTAAGCAGAAGAATCCAAAAGTTCAAGATCAGCCTGGCATTTAGTGAACAGGCACCACCATGATGGCAGACGCCTGTTAATTCAGCAATTTGGGAGGTGAAGGCAGAAAGATTGCAGGTTCGAGGCCAGCCTCAGCAACTTAGCAAAGCCCTAAAGAAACTTAGTGAGACTATATCAAAATAAAATAAAAAGGCTGGGGTTGTAGCTCAGTTTTTAGTGTTCCTGGATTAAATCCCTCGTACAAAAAAATAAATAAGGCTGAGGACACATAGCTCAGAGGAGTAGAGCACCCCTGGGTTCAAACTCCATTTAAAAAAAAAAAAAAAGGAGATAGGCCCAGAATTGGAAAAAAATGGAAGAACTGATTCATGAGAAAGACAGAGGAAGAGAGCCTAAGCTTGATACAAAGCTTGATCAAAGGGAGGGGGTCACATGAGATGGTTTTAAAGTCCAGTCCTAGGAACAAAGGGCTTGACCAAGTTTTTGGACTCTTCTGATTAAGGACACAAGTCCCAGCAGGGCTAGGGGATGCAGCTCAGTGATAGAGCTTTTTGCCAGCAATACAAACACACACACACACACACACACACACACACACACACACACCCCAAAATAAAGTCCCAACTGACAGATGCAGGGCTGATGCTCTCATCATAGGTTTTGAACAACACTGGAAAACACACTATCACTAGCAGCCTGATTTAGAAATCAACAAGTTTTGAACTTCTTTAAGAAATTATGCAGATAACTAGGTGCAGTGAGGCACACCTATAATGTAAGAATTGCAAGTTCAAAACCAGCCTAAGCATCTTAACAAGGCCCTGCCTCAAAATGAAAAATAAAAAAGACTGGGTATGTGGCTCAGTGCCAAATGGCCCCCTGATTTCAATCCCTGGTACCAAAAATCTAAATAATAATAAAGTAGAATAAATAAATCATGCAGTTAACCAATCATTGCACCAAAATTTTTGACCAAGTCTCAACATTTGAACTGTTTGAAAAAGAATTTAATAAAAATCAGTCATTCATAGACTAGAAGGAAGAGAAAAATCAGACAATATTTAGTCTTTGTTTGTGTGTGTGGGTACCAGGGATTGAACCCAGGAGCACTCTACCACTGAGCCAAATCCCCAGCCCTATTTTGTATTTTATTTAGAAACAGGGTCTGAGTTGCTTAGCGCCTCACTGTTGCTAAGGCTGACTCTGAACTTGCAATCCTCCTGCCTCAGCCTCTCGAACCACTGGGATTACATGACCAGCTAATATTTAAGGTTCTAGGTACATGCTTTTGCTCTATTTAGGCTTAACTTGGTTTGGCAGCACTAACAGCATATTCTGAAAGCCAAGCCCAATCACTTTACCACCTAAATTAATCAAACCTGGTTATTTCCCCTAAATAGAATGTCTCCTGTTGGTGCTAGAGCATTTAAAATAGTTGTTTTTAAGCCAGGCGTCGTGGTGCACACTTGTAATCCCATTGGCTCGGGAAGCTGAGGCAGGAGGATGTTCAAAGCCAGCCTCAGCAAAAGCGAGAGGCTAAGCAATTCAGTGAGATCCTGTCTCTAAATAAAATACAAAATAGAACTGGGGATGTGGTTCAATGGTCAAATGTCCCCGAGTTCAAAACCTGGTAGCACCCCCCCCCCCCAAAAAAAAAAGTTGTTTAGGTAGCTTCCTGAAGACTCAGAAAGCACTGGCACTGGACACCCAAATTCTAAGCGCAGACACTTCAGAACCCTGGCCCAAAAAAGCAAAGGACAGAAACCATACATCAGTCTTGTATCCAACCTATTTTACCAAATCCAAAGCCACTGTGGAAAAGAGCCATAAACTCAAACTTTAGGTGAATATCCAAGGGTATCAAAATGTCAATCTAACCTTTAACACCACATCGATCTCCTTAAAACAAACAAGAAACTGATTTATACAACAGTCACAGGATATGTCCAACTTTTTATTAATGTTTCATATAAGAAGTTGAATAGGAACAAGGGATTTCAGAACTCTTCCCACAACTGCAGGAGGATGGAGTAGGGGCAGAGTGCACACAATCTCATTATTCTCAGGTGAATATCAACTGCAGCACTTTCTTACATTGATATATAGACAAATTCAGTTGGAGCAGGGGATCAAACCCAGGGCATGGAGCATGCTTAAGCATGCATTTTACAAAGCTTTAATGTTTTTTGATACAAAACTTTATGTGGGACTGGGGTTGTGGCTCAGTAGTAGAACACATGCCTAGCATGTGAGAGGCACTGGGTTCGATTCTTAGCACCGCATATAAACAAATTAAAGGTCCATTGAGAACTTAAAAAAAAAAAAAAAAAAAAAAAGAACTTCACCTAAGACAATCCAAGAAGGTAATCCAATATCATAAACAATAAACGAGGCTCAAAAGGCCTTTTCCAAAGTTGGGCAAATGGCAGAGTTCCTTCAACCTGTTCTTCTCCCCAGCAAAATAAAAAGCTATCTCTCATTTTCCTTAGAGAATCTACAAGCAGCAGCATACTGCTGGTATACGTCTAAGGAAAACTACCGACTACAAAATATTTCCCTTTAATTAAACTTATACTATCAATCCAGTCTAGGGAGTGTGAGGGGAATGTAATGCTTCATTAGGAACCTGAAGGTCTGAGTCAAAACCAAAATAAAACTTTTTCCAACTGTAATGCAAAATTACACACTACCTTCTCCATTCTTTTACATTTACTTCATCTTCACCTGGCATGCAGAACAAAGGACAAAAACAGGGGAGAATCAGAGCAGCCATGGATTGTTGCCTGCCTGGCCTCCAATCCCTGTTCTCCCCCTTTCAATCCCCCTACCTCAGCCCCACAAGTAGCTGGGGATCACAGCCATGCATGCACCACCCTTCTGGCAGAGATTAAATTTCTAACCATAGTCTACACTGAAGTATTATGAACAGTCTCAAAGCTCAATAATAAGTTTTTGCCAAGAAATGTCACAAACCAGTGCCATCTATCTCCCTGACCGTTTACAGTCACCCACCAGCTGGCCCACAAATTTACATTTCTGTTCACCATAGACCTTTTAGTTCAAAAGGGCCACATTTGAATTAGAACACCCTATTAGAGGACTTGGATGTACATCACACTCTTTTTCTCACCTGTTAGTTCTATTTATGTTTGTTCCTTTTAGGAAAAGACGATAAAGGAGGAACAAACATACTATAAACCTTATTCCAACATGAGAAAAAAAAAATCTGAAGACAAAATAAACCTCCCTTCATGTTAATCACTGCTCAACATGAGAAACATCTGAGAAATAGTTAAAACTTTACTACCAATACAATCAACACTTGGGCCCTCACTATATACCAAGGACAGAACTAAGAGCTATAATTTATGGGTACCTACCCCCACTTATATTAAGATGACTGATAGACACAATGGTGAAACACCTGGCTCAATTATCTGTCTCCAGGACTACACACAGCTAAGCACAGGGCCAAGACATGAACTCATATAATCTGGTGTAGACTCCAAGATTCTGACAATAAAGCTAACCCTTACTGCCAGAGCACAAGACACCTGGGGGTAAATGACATTAAAGAAGATACCCAGAAACATCTTTTCTTTTCCTTTCCTAGGAACATCTTTTAGTAAGTACAGGATCGAGAGAAAGCTCTCAATGGATGTCACAGGGCTCTAGTCAACCAATGCTTCAAACACACTTTCAAAATGTAAAGACCAAGAAAACAATAATCAAAAAAAAAACAATAAAAAGCTGAGAAAGAACAATGAGGGAAGCAACTCTATGGAATGTGATCAAACACTGGCTCCCAAGTCAGGCTGCTCTGGGAGGCTACTTAGCAGGGCCTTGCCTGAAGGACAACCATCAGTCCATATCTAGGGAACAAAACAAGCAGCTCCAAACTAAATGAATTCACAACTAGATAAAGAGAACACTTTCCTAACAAAGAATCAGAGACAGAAGAAATAAAGAGGTAGACTGAGAAGCAAACACAGGGCTGGGGTGTAGCTCAGCGTTAAAGCACTTGGCTGTCATGCTCAAAGCCCTGGGTTCCCTCTTCAGTTCAGGGGCAAAAAAAAAAAAAAAAAAAAGCAAACATAGGCTTGGCCAAGATAAGCATAAACACTGGCTAGATTAAAACCAACTCAGTCACTTCTACTTCCCTCTTTAGCAGCAGACATTAAAAAACATACTAAGTCAGGGACTCAATGATATTGAAGAAACTTGATCCTCTGGATTTTTAAAGCCAAGAACCAAAAGTCAGAATTTTCCTTCCCTTCCTTAACAAATGAAACCAAAGTTTGCCCCTACCATCTAGAGGACAATGCACTCATTTACTGAATTCTGTCCTCAATGAGGGGACACCACCAACTTCTTTTTCCAAATCCTTGCAGCCACATTCCAATCAAACCAAGCAACAAAAGTTTAACTTTTCAAAATCCTACTGGCAATTAAAAGAGACCCTCTGCTAGGTTTTTAACCTCAATTATGACACTCCTACATGCTCATTGTAGGAGTTATCAAGAAACTGGAAGAAGCTGGTCCAAGTGTCAAACTCCTCACACTGCAAAATGAGCCAGTTTTAGTTTGCCAGATAAATATTTAATTATACAAAATTTAGGAGTCCTGCCCACTTAAAGGATTTCCTAAAATCCCCAAGTTAAATATTTCATTTAAATTACCACTATTTAATGCTGCATGCACTTGTAACACTACCCTGCTAATTTTATTGGTTCTATTTAAGGTACCTGATTATCCCCAAAGCTGTATGCCTGTTCTCTAAGACCACACCCTGTAGAAGAAAAGGTGTAAGCATCTGCAGAGTCTCATCCACTCTTCTGGCAACAAACAGGAAAAAACATGCTGCTACACTTCCAAATTCCACTAAATACAATATATCTATTCCTGTTAGGTAAAAAAGGGATGTTTCGTTTTATGGAACAGGATACAATCCAGGAACCACGGGGGTTATTTAAAATAAAATTAATGTCCCTTAAAATTTCTGAACAAAAAACTAGTAAATTAGAAGCTCTTTCAAATGAAGTAATCAAATTAAGAATTATTTCAGAGTCCAACCTCTGAGCCCCTCTTCTTTATAGTTAGCACTAGCAGGGGGCATGGTGGCACATCCTATAATCCCAGCAACTCCAGAGGCTGAGGCAGGAGGATTCAAAACTCAAAATTAGTCTGGGCAGCTTAGTGAAATCCTTTCTCAGACTAAACCAAAATAAGTACCAACAAATTAAAAAAAAAAAAAAAGTGAATAATAAGCTTTAAAGAAAACTGCTAGCTATAGTCCTAGAGGTATACATCCTATCAGTATACAACACCACCAAAACCAGAGAATATTTGTATTTATAGGTCTTATCTAAGAGCCTTGCCTTCCTCTTCAAGCAAAATGTTAACTGAAACAAAAAGCTAGACCATGTAAGGTACCCCCAATACAACACACTATTCAGCCATTAAAAAGTACTTGCAATGTGCACTCATTTGATACAGCTCAAAAACATTAGGTTAAGTGGAAGAAACCAGACACAAAATAATAAATTATACGGCTGTTAAGGGGAAACTACACAAATCTACACAGCAATCACATCAGTGGGTGCCTGGATCTGGGGTGGGGAAAATTCTTTCTATTTGTTAGTAATCCACATTTGCCCAAGTGAAACTATACACCTAAACAAATGATTTTACTGTATGTAAACTATACTCCAAGAAACTCAAGTTTTTAAAAAATTGAGTTTTAGTGTATATTTTTCAAATTCCCTTTCCAAATAAAACCAACAGCCATTTCAAAAAGAACACCAAAGATCCTGAAGCATTGATGGATGTTAAAAAGCAATTTATTCAGTAATCAAAATTGATGAAACTCAGCTACCTAAAAACCAAAGCTGACTACCAAGGCACCATTTAAACTGTTTCCTTTTTCTGTATAAGGCTAGACTATTAGTTCCTCATTCCCTAAAATTAACATTCTTACTGACCAGTTTCAGTTAAGAGCTCTCAAAATTACTGTCCCCCAGAACTGCAATGTCTACTAAAGAAACCTCACAATAAGGGATTTCATCCTACAAAATGCTGCCACTTGAGCCTTCTAACACAAAAATAAGAATCTGAGAATAAGGAGGTAGTCCACAGCTTGTTTCAGCCTATTATCTTTTTAAATGCACTAAATTCCATTACTGTTTGAAAACATGCAATTTCATTACATTTTCATTAAGATTAACTATTAATGCCAAATCCTTTTTCCACAGAAAATATGCCAAAAATCAAACCCGAATTTCCAAATCTTCTGTATCTTTAATGCACAACATCTAAAGCCATTGTTGTCAGGAGAGCACAATGGGCAGAAACATTCACTTACATACCTTCATTTCTTCAAAGGGGGAAAATGTACTTCAGAAAAGCAGCACCATAAAACACAAAGCTATTAAAAACTGATCACAGATTTCCTGCCAACAATTCACAGACACAAGGTAGTTTTAAAGAAAAATACCTGATAAATTGCTAGCATGTAAATAAGCGCAGGCAGAGTCCAATTAGCACGTTTTCATAGCACTTAAATGCCAAACTACCTTGCTCTAAATTGCTCAAGAATCTTTCCCGGGGCGGTCCCACTTCTCTGTTTAAAAAACAAACAAAAAAAAATCTTTTCTTCCCTTGTTGAATTTTGTCTTAATCTGTGTTCCAGCTCAGGGCTTCACAAACTCACGACTGAGTCTGGGAGCTAGAAAGTCCTAGCTGCACGGCGAGGGGCTGCCTTGGGCACTGCGCGGAAACCCTGCAGCACCCTCTCACAATCAAAAACGTCCCCAGGTGTTGCCATATGTCCCCAGGGGACGGGGAAGGCGTCGGGGGATATCAAAACCGCCGGCAATCGCTCTAGGACACCACCGAGATTCTCAAGTTGCAAGGTGCTCGCGGCTGCGGAACCTCCCTGGGAACGCGAGACACACGCCCGCCGCGGGCCGCCCTTCCCCTCAACCGGCAATGCAGCAAGGTTATCTTTACCTTTGTAGAGGTTGGTGACGGCGGTGGCTGCGTTTTGGAAGGGGACCCAGAGAGAAAGTCCTGGCTGCTGACACACTCGGTCTGGAAACGATAAACCAAAACAAAAACAAAAAGGACGAAAGAAAACGAAAAGAAACGCACGCACAAGGACACAGAGACAGACAGAGACAGGGAGAGAGAATGTTATTTGGGCGTCAATCACTCCGAACGGCCATATTAGGCTTCGCCATTTTGTCCGGGGTTTCGGGATCCCGGGAGGCGCGGGGGACCGGGGGTCGCGGCGGGCGGGGGACGGAGGCGCAGCCCGGGCGCCGGCGCAGGGAGGCGGCCCGCAGCCCGGGACGCGGGCACAATGGCCCCGTCGCCGCCTTCGCCATCTTGTGGCGGGGCTCCTCCCTGCCCGCCGGCCGGGTCGGGCCGGGCCGGGCCAAACCCGGGGCTCCGGGCCGCGGCGGGCCAGGGGCGGGCGGGGAGGTCCCCCGGCGCCGGCCGCCCCCCGCGACGCCGTCTCGGGAGGGAGGGCCGCAGCGCGACCCCCAGCCCCGCGGCCGCCCCTCCCGGCCCCGCTGCCTCCCAGGGCGCGGGAGGTGCGGGCCGGGCGGGACCGGGCGGGACCGGGCCGGGCGGCGGGCGGGCGGCGCCAAGATGGCGGCGCGGCCTCACCTTTGTAGAGCTGGGCCACGGCGGTGGCCGAGTTCTGGAAGAGGTGCCACAGCTTCTGCTGCTTGTGCTCGGGCTGCGCGGCGGCCGCCGCCTCCTCCTGCAGCTCAGGGGACAGCTGCTCGTCCTGCTCGGCCTCGGCCAGGCACTGCCGCTCCCACTTGGAGAACCAGTGCTCGGGCCCGTGCTCCTGGATCTCCGCCTCGCCCTCCTCCTTCCGCTCCTCCATCCTCCGCGGCCTCCCGCGGCCTCGCCGCGGCCGCCGCGTCCTCCTCAGGGGGGGCCCCCGCGGGAGCGTCGTCGTCGAGCGGCCCGGCGGCGGGGCCCGGCGGCCGGCGGCGGCTCCTCGCGGCGGCCCAGGCCTCCTGCAACCCGACGGCCGGCGACCCCGCCCCGCGGCCCCGCGCAGCCCGGACGACCCCCGCCCCGCGGCCCCGCGCAGCCCGGACGACCCCCGCCCCGGGCCTCCCCGCCCCCGGGCCCGCTGACGGCCCCCGCTTCGCCTGCCGCACTCGCCTACCGCCCCCCCATGGCGCCGCGGCCTCCTTAAGGAAGCCGCTACTGCCCTCCGAGCCCTCCGCGTAACCCGGACTGCGCCGCCGAGCCCACCCCAAAGACTGAGCAACGTCGTCGCCGCCGCCGCCGTCTACGCCTCTGCGACTGCTGGTCCCCGCCCTCCCCCGCCCACATGCTGACTGGGAAGCACCGCCCCCTCGGCACGGCTCCCCCGAGCGGTTGGGGCGCGCCCGCTGCGAGGGCCCCCATTGGTCCGAGCCGACCGGTTCCGCGAGCCGGCCCCTGAACACAGCGTCGGGATTGGCTCATCAGCCTGTCTCCCTGACGTCATCAATGGGCGGGGGAAAAGGAGGAAATGTCAGGAAGGATGAAGACGGAAAGGAGGGGGAGGAGTTGTCAGTGGTTGCGGCCGAGCCAGCCAAATGCGGGGGGGGGGGGATTCGTAGAAGCGCATGCGCAAGGCTTGCTGCCCCTGAGCGGCGGGGCGCAGAGCGCGAGCCACGTGATCCAGCCCTGCGACCGCACCCGGCGGGGTCTTTTCCGGCGCTGCCAGGCCGCTGAGGACGCCAAGTCCAGTGTAGCACAGCACCGCTCGCACGAAGGGGCGTGACGGGTGGCAGAGTGCCTGCTCCAGCCCTCGGGCTCCCAGAGGGAGGAAGGGAATGGAGAAAGGGAATTAAACGCGCAGTTTGTGCCCAAGTTTGCCGAAGGATTCCCCATCTTTTTCCACCGTCTCGTTTCTTACTCGGGCAAACCGAGCGTCCCAAAGAAAAACCCGAGCGCCGGGCCGGGCGGGCCTTCGGCCTGCAGCGCGTCGGGGGCGCCCTCGGGACGCACGGCCCCAGCGGCCGCCGAGGCGCCAGGGAGCGGGCCGCGCCTGCGCTCCGGGAGCCGGCGCCCGCACCCGTCCGGGGAAGCACGCCCCCGGGCCACGTGCGGCCGCAGGCCACGCGCGCCTCTGCGGGCCGGAGCCCGGGCGCGGCGCCGGGGCGGCCAGCGCCGGCAGTCACCGCACAGAGATCGCAGACCCCCTCGTTCCGCGCTGGCCGCCGGGGCGCCTCCTGCGGGAGTGCGCCCGTACCGAGCCCCGGAACCTCGCCGCCCCCGCGGCCCTGATTCCACGTCGCGCAGTCCGCCTTGTAGCCCGTGCGCGCGCCCCACTGCCCTGCCCACTCTCCAGAACCTCGGCTCCCTTCTGTCTCGGTCCCTGTCTGGGAGCTCTTACTCCTGGGTCCAGGCTTGGCCCCAGGGGCTGGTGTGCGAGGACCGCCCCCCTCCCCGTGAGACCAGCCTAAGGCGGCCTGCTCCCTCCCCGCGTCTGCACTATGTGAAATGATCCGCTGCTGATTGATACTGTATGTCATCTCACCAAAACACAGGTTCCAAAACGCAGGTGTCTGTGTCAGGCTTGTTCCTAGTTGGACCCTAAAAGACAAGGTTTAGAAAAAAGGGGAGGAGGACCGGCCATGGTGTGAAGGACAAGCCAAGCAAAAGCTTCAAGAAAGCAAAGACAAGGAAGAGGGATTACCAGGGGAAGGTCAAGTCCTTTAGGCCGAAAAGAGTGGGAGACAGGAGGCAGGCAGGTTGCTTCATTCAGCATTAGTCACCAGCCTATTTTTTTGTGGGCCCTGCGAAAACACGAGTTGTGTTGTGTTTATAATATTAAAAAAAAAATACTTTTCAATAACGATTACAATACAAAAACAATTAATTTTCGATTCTTTTGTAGCGGGGAGGTGCGAGGGGGCGGGGATTAAACTCAGGGGCACTCAAAGGCAGAGCCACATCCCCAGCCCTATTTTGTATTTTATTTAGAGACAGGGTTTCACTGAGTTGCTTAGCGCCTCCCTTCTGCTGAGGCTGGCTTTGAACTTGAGATCCTCCTGCCTCAGCCCCCTGAGCCTCTGGGATTACAGGTGTGGGCCACCGTGCCAGGCTAATCTTCAGTTATTTTTACAGAATAAGTTTAACAGGTCTCAGTAGTGCACATCTGTGATTCCATCACTCAGGAAGGTGAGGAAGGAGGATAGCAAGCTGCAGGCCAGCCCAGGAAAATTAGCAAGAACTTGGGTCAAAATTTATAAAATATAGAAAACTAGGGATGTAGCTCAGTGGTGCTCCTGTCCTGGGTTCAATCCCCAGTACCAACAACAACAACAACAACAAGAAATTCAGAACTAATCATACTCCAGATTTGATGTCCTGTAGAAAACCAAGTCACACACAACTTCATCTTTGACAGCCCTGCTTAAGTTTGTACTTTCTTTTTATTAAATTTTTTTTTATATTTATTTTTTAGTTGTAGTTGGACACAATACCTTTATTTGTTTTTATGTGTGCTGAGAATCGAACCCAGAGCTTGCTAGACCAACACTCTACCACTGAGCCGCAACGCCAGCCCCCTAAGTTTGTACTTTCTAAGGAATGAAGGCTGCTCTTCTTCTTCATCTAATTCAGACACAATGTGAGAAGCTTCTGACCCTGACCTTTCCTTATAAAGACATCTATTTTCAGCCCTAGGTCAACCCAGGAACCAGTGAAATTGAATTGCAAAAAACCTGAGAGGGTCTCTAATAAAAATTGAAAAAAAGCACCTGTCCACTTGCTTGCCACGCCCCTAAGCTATGCAGGTCTCTATTTTGACCTCTCAGACCATTTAATTCTGGTTTGATGGTCTTAGAGAGTCCATAAGCTATTGCACAATAGCTTATTATCAATGGCACTTGGAATGTTAAAATGACAATGCATGGGCCCGGTTTGTAGCTCAGTGGTAGAACCCTTGCCTGTGTGCCGCGCCAGGTTTGATTCTCAGCACTGCATATAAATAAGGGTCCATTCACAACCAAAAAAATATTTAAAAAAAATAATAGTGCATGGCCAGCAGTCAACAAAGAGAAGGCAATTTCAATCTACTGGCTCCAATCAAACGCTGCCTACTCTTCAACTTAAAGATCTAACTTCATGAGATTCTGAATCAACTGATCTCTCCAGCCCCTATTGATCTTAGAATGATCCATATTTCAGGCTGGGGGTATAGCTCAGTGGCACAGCGCTTGTCTCACAAACTTGAAGCACTGGGTTCCACACCCCAGTACCATACACACGTGCAAAAAGACAATTCACACTTAAAACACCAGATTTCTATATGATCACAAGAATAACCACAAAAATTTGTTTCATCCCCTTTTTATGTATTTTCTTCTTTCACAATTTGTTCAATTATGAAAGTTGCAGCGACATGTTTTTAAAAAGTGAAAACAAAGTTTACAAACACACAGTTCCCACCAACTGCCTCCTTTCACAAGTGAGAAAACTGATTGGTTAAATAACTCATAGGAAGCCACACAGTTTACAGGTGGGACAGCCAGGATGGAAGGCCAGGCAGTGAGTAGAGGCCAGGATGGAAGGCCAGGCAGTGAGTAGAGGCCAGGATGGAAGGCCAGAGGCAAAGAGCAGGAAGGGGCAGCTGTGTGCAGCGCTCTGGGGGAGAGGAGCAAGCATGGACAAGGTCACTGAGAAATCTCATATTTCCCGTCAAGTCTGATCTTTCAGTGAGCCAGGACAGTGAGGAAAATCGGAGCTAGTCAGTCTGAAGCTGAGCACAGAGGATGTTTTCTTCTAGAACACTCTTGGATGAGGGGAGTGGCTCCGGGGTAGAGTACTAGCCTAGCAAGCACAAAACCCTGGGTTCCAGCACTGAAAAAAATTTTTTTTTTCTTTTTCATTGATAAGAGACTATGAGAGGGACTGGGGATGTGGCTCAAGCGGTAGCGCGCTCGCCTGGCATGCGTGCGGCCTGGGTTCGATCCTCAGCACCACGTACAAACAAAGATGTTGTATCTGCCGAAAACTAAAAAATAAATTAAAAAAAAAAAAAAAAAAAGAGACTATGAGAACATAGGACCTTGAGCTACGCACACTCTCTACCAGTGAGTTACACCCTCGACCCCTGAGCAGAAAACCTTTGACCCAAAAGTGTCAAAGAATCTCCGATCTTATGTGAGAAATAGTAGATTTTCACAAAGGCGTCTAAAAACTGAGCACTTTGTGGGATAATATGCACAGAATGGAGTCTGCCAGCTGCCTTCTCAATTTCCATTCCACCATTATTCTTTGCTAACAGGACCTGATTTTAAGTGGGCCATGTGCTCAGCCTAATGACTACATTTCCCAGCATCCCTTGCAGCTAAAAGAGGATGATGAAATAATAAGAGGAAGTCATTGGGTGGAGCTTCCAGGAAAGGTATTGAAAAGGAACTGACTTAGCTTGCCCTCTTGCTCTTGCTACTTCCTCCTTTCTGCTCCCTGGAACACAAACAAGATATCCCAGGCTGCAGCAGCCATGTTTGACCATGAAGTAACCTTAAGGAAGGAAACATGGGCTAACCCAGTGGAGTGGGAAATAGGATGTTCTTGATGAACCAATCTGTGGCCATCCCTGGGCTACCTACCTCTAGACTTTTTTTTTTTCCTTCTTTTTTTAAGTAGGCAAAAATAAACCTCTACATTACATAAGGAACTGCGGTCAGGTCTCTGTACAAACTCAACACGATCCATGGTTCTTTCCAGTACATAAAGCTCAGGGTGATTTACAGATTGCTAAATGAATGTGATGTTTCGTAATTTGGAGGGATTTGAGGTTGTTTGTTTTGCTTTTGCTTTGCCCACTATGCTTACTCAACTTCTATCCATGATAACAGTGTGTTCCGTCCCTGGCCAGTCCTAGGCGTTGAACTGTGCCTGCAAGTTGCTGCCAGTTCTGAGACCAGATAACAATGGGATCACTCACCCCGAGGGC